CATTTAATTTAATCTTTCATTTTATTTCTATAAGCTTTCTGCCTGCTTTATAAAGACCGGAATCCTATTACTTTCACATACCAATAAACTGCACTGGTGAATTGCTGCTAATTGAGAAAACAGTGCTTGCATTCCTTGTTATGTGCTGAGTTATGTGACTTGGCATTCAGTGAGGAATACAAGTGTGCACATAATAACAATCAGCAATTTGTCAGTGACAGTTTATGCTTTCACCAGCTTACAGAAGTAACAGGATTCTGACCACTGTCTAGAATCTGGAATATGGTATCAATAGCCAAGATTGCAAAACAGTGCCATAAACTGCTCTGTACATCCTGAATGCATTGCGGGTTTAAATTATAAACAACTGTGGGGCCCAGTTCTTGCAGAAAAGCAGAATATGGCAACCAAAAATAAAATAAAACTTGCCCCACTGGGGTCTTGAATCAGCAAAGAAGTCATCAAGACAAAGCTCTGGGCTACTATATGAGTACTGTACAAGGGTATGATCTGTAGTACAGCTGGCGAAGGTGCGGTGGTTGGTCTAGTGCAGTGGTTCCCAATCTTTGGTCCCTGGATGTTCTTGGACTGCAACTCCCAGAAATCCTGACCAGCACAGCTAATGGTGAAGGCCTCTGGGAGTCTTAGTCGAAGAACATCTGAAGACCCAAGGTGGAGAACCACTGGTCTAGTGAATGCTTCAGTTTCAAGAAGCATCCCCACCTCCTCTTGCACCCGAAGCCATGTGGTGAAACTTGCTGTGTAATAGCAACACTATGCTCCTAGTTTCCTTGTCCTTCCTTAGTGGCAGCCACTGTAGTAGAGCAAGGGTGCTACAACAGAGCTTCATCTTATCATGCAAGAAGTGGTCAGGACAGATCAAGGTCGACCTAGATATGCAGGTTACAATTTGGTGCAGAAGCTCCCTGACTTTCTAGTATCTAATATTCTCCCTCAGAAAGCCAATCCTGGCTCTTTTTTAAATGGATCTGCGCCATCGTGATTCATGGGTTCCCAAAACATATTTGCATTATCTGCCTACTATATTTTTAGATACAGACTTAAATCTTAGGAAAATTCAGAGATATGTAATGTTTGATTCAGCCCTCAGTTTGCAAAGCTTCACTTGCTGGTGCCACGCAGAGCCACACTCCTGTACAAGAATAAGAGGAGTTGAATTAGGCAGGCAGTCCTGGCCAAGAGGAACCATGACTTTAGAGAGATGAAGCCAGCTGGCTTAAATCCATCTAAATTCTCTGGGGTGACTATATACAGTATAAAGTTTGGACTTATATTGAAAGATGTAACTCTGACTCATGGTTTTGTGGCATCTTGAATATTGTTATCCACAATTCAGGTTGACAGTGGTGGCTATTTTACCATTCTCTCTTTGTAAATCTTCTCCCTTCCTATTTTGTTATCATTTTTAGAACCATTTTTTGTTGTTGTTGTAGTTCAATTTGGGAAATTCTTCCTGTCCTTGCAAAAACATTTTGGAGGACTAAATTACAGTTTATGTTGAGGTCAAATGATACATTAAGGAAATTTGTATTTCTTGCTATTACCCTTCAAGGTTTTCCCTTCAAAGCATAATCAGACTTGCAAAGAAGCCAGGTTTCATCTCCTGACAGCCAATCGCAAAACAAAAAGAAGCTGAAGTTCAAAATGTGATGTCCTAACTAGATGGTCTAGTTTGGGCTTTGAGGCTAAGCCTCCTTTTATCTTACTTACAGCAGACCCTTCTCCATTAGCAATAGGACCACCACATGTGGGCAATGATCATCAACATCATCATGTACCAACTAGATGGTCTAGTTTGGGCTTCGAGGCTAAGCCTCCTTTTATCTTTCACTTACAGCAGACCCTTCTCTATTAGCAATAGGACCACCACATTTGGGCAATGATCATCAACATCATCATGTACCATCAAGTGAATTCTGACTTATGGTGATCCTTTTCAGGATTGTCAGAGAATACTCAGAAGTGCTTTATCATTTCTTTCTTTTGGGGCCACCCTGGGAATGTGCAGCTCTCCCAAGGCCACATAGGCTCTTCTCCCTAGAGGTATAGTGGAAAATCCAACTTTCAACCTCTGGCTCCACAGCCAAATACCTAACTCACTGAGCTATCCAGCCAGCTATGTGGATTAAGGGGGACAGGGAATTCTGTCTCTCATAATGATTTCCTCCCCTAAATATGGTTTACCCCATGAGCTATCCAGCCAGCTCCATATGTGGATTAAGGGGGGCAGGGAATTCTGTCTCTCATAATAATTTCCTCCCCTAAATATGGTTTACCCCATCAATGCAAGAATCACTCTACTGGCAACAGCTATGATGTTAATTTTTTTCTGTTTCTAGCCCCTATAGTGTAGGAGGTGAATTTGCAAGGGGGCTGAGGTGACATGGAGGGTCCTGATCTTAGAGTGGAAGCTAACGTGCATACTTCCGGGCGTGGGGGAGAAAAAGAAACTTACCTGCATGCTAACTATGCATTTAATATAGAGTGGTTTTAGCTCATAGATTACAATACTTTGTCCCCTCTTTGTTAGTTCTTTTGATCCCACTGAAATTTATGTTTTAAATGCTGCTTTTTCATTTTTAAGACTGATTCACACAAGGAGCTCAGCAGGAAGTGTTATTTTCCTCTGTCCTTGTCCTATGATGGAAATTCCATCTGCTTGCCAGCACACTGTGGTTCTTCCTTTCTTTAAAAGGACATTTTTTTTTGCTTGGTTTCAAAAGCAAGCGCACAGTTTGTCCCACAAAGTAGCTTGTTTCAAGACGTGCCCCATATGGAAAAGAAATCTGTCTGGGGAAAAGAGAAATTGTACTTGGAAATTTATTTTAAGATTAGCAAGACCCAAACTCTTTATTAATTTGCATTGTTGGATCCAACTCACCGTTTAAAGAAATAAAAATAGAATATTTTTAAAAACATTTTATTGTGTCATATTTATGACATTTTTATTACACACTTCAGACAAGTTCCCCAGTGGTTCACATCTAACAAGAAAAATTAGATTCAGAAAGCTTTTCTGAATGGGGCACTCATGCTGCCTGATTCTGTTCCTCTTTGTTCTGAAAGAGAACAGAATTTACTTAAACTTTCTAGGACTTAGGTCCATAGGATGAATCCTTCCATGCTGGTGTCAGAACGTCTCTTGGCAAAAAGGGGTGAGGAACCAAAAATCCCAGAAATGAGATTAGGGATCGCTTATAGGAGTCACATCTTTGGAGGGCAGTAGAACCGTCTTCCTGCCTTGGGCCAGCACACCAGGGACAACAGCTTGGGAGTCCCTGCCTCATCAGGGGATGGAGCCCAGAATGTGCCAGCCGGCTTCCTTTTCTCTCTCCCAGAAAACTAAAAGGCATCAGGGCAATGCATAAGATATAAGGTCATAGATATAGAGACATCATCACACAGCCTCTGTTCCTTTCTTTCCCAGCATACTAATGGAGATGTTAGCTGCCAAGGAAGTAGTCCGACAGCATCTCAGTTCCCATCTCCCCTTAAATGGGGCTCATATTTTGGCCACATCCTGAGAAGGCAAGGTTCTCTGGAAAACATAATTAAGGCTTAGAAAAGTAACGGACCTTTGTTGGCAAGGTGATGTCTCTGCTTCTTAAGATGCTGTCTAGGTTTGTCATCACTTTCCTCCCTAGAAGCAGGCCTATTTTAATTTCATGGCTGCTGTCACCATCTGCAGTGATCAGGGAGTCCAAGAAAATAAAATCTGTCACTGCCTCCACCTCTTCCCCTTCTATTTCCCAGGAGGTGATAGGACCAGTGGCCCTGGTCTTGGGGTTATTTTTTTTTTAATCTTGAGCTTCAGACCATTTTTTTTGTGCTCTCCTCTTTCATCCTCATTAAGAGGTTCTTTAATTCCTCCTCACTTTCTGCCATCAGAGTGGTATCATCTGCATATCGGGGGTTGTTGATATTTCTTCCGGCAATCTTAATTCTGGTTTGGGATTTCTCCAGTCCTGTTCCCATCTCCCCTAAACTGGGGCTATCATACTTTGGCCACATCCTGAGAAGGCAAGGTTCTCTGGAGAAGACAATTAAGGCTAAGAAAAGTTGAAGGCAACAGGAAAAGGCTTACGAGCTACGTATTTATAAACTGGATGGCTTTGAACGGGGATGAAACAGGTTCGTGAAGGATAAGACAAGGGGGGCAGTTCCGGTCTTACTGGACTTCAAGGCCCATCATCCTGCATCGCAAGCTAGGGTTGTAGAGGGGTTCCGTCCAACAGCCCCCGGCTTGTCCACGATTGCCCACCGTGGAAATAGGACGCTGAACTAAGCAGACCTGTGGCTTTTTTTAATCCGCTGCCCCCCCCTTTTCTATGCAGCCCCGCGAGCACCGTCTTCGCATCGCAGAGGTTCGTGAAGGATAAGACAAGGGGGGCAGTTCCGGTCTTACTGGACTTCAAGGCCCATCATCCTGCATCGCAAGCTAGGGTTGTAGAGGGGTTCCGTCCAACAGCCCCCGGCTTGTCCACGATTGCCCACCGTGGAAATAGGACGCTGAACTAAGCAGACCTGTGGCTTTTTTTAATCCGCTGGCCCCCACTTCTATGCAGCCCCGCGAGCACCGTCTTCGCAGGCGCCCCCGTCCCTGTTGCCTCTTCATTCTTGCAGCAGCAGAGAGGGGCGGCCACGCCACGCTGCCCCCCAAAGAGCGGCTCTCTTTCCACCTCTGAAGGGATGGGGCGGGGGGTGGGGGGTGGCACCGACTCTCCCTCACAAACCTGATAAACGCCCCCTCCTTTCCCCTCTGAGGCAAATTCCCCCGCCAGGAGAAGGGCGCGTCACCGCCATGACTCATCCTCTCCCCCCACCCCTCACCGCACGTTATGGAGTGGGAAGTTTTTTAGGCTGCAAGCAGCAGCAGCGGCGGCTTTTTTCTGCCCTCCTCCCTCCCCCCCCAAAAAAAATTAGGGAACGGATGCATTTCGACGTCGCCCGCTTTTCCAGCCGCCGCCTTCCCGCCCGAAAGCACCCGACTCTTTGCCACCCATTGTTCTCCCGCCGTTTCCTTCCTCCTCCCTCCTCCTCCTCCTCCTCCGAGCCCTCAGAAGAGAGGCGGGATTTCTCCTCCCAGGCCCGGCATCGACTGACACTTCGGGGGCGGGCCGGAGCCCAGGCCGGGCGGGCTTTGAGCCCCTGAGCTGGCGCCGCTAGCGGTCCAAGCCAGAGCCCCCGACCGAGAGCCCGCCGCCGGCTTGACGCTCCCCCTCGCCCCCCCCCCAGGGCGCAGACACGCAGGGCGGCGACGCAACTCGGGAGGGTCGGTGGGTGGGTAGAAAAAGACGAGGCAACCCCCGGCCTGGCTTCGCCTCGCCGCCGTCTCTCTCGCTACCTCCGCTCGGGGCTGGCAAGCCAATGAGGGCCCGGACTCCGGCCCTCTCCGCCTCAGGAGCCGCCCGGAGCCCCCCGTGCCGACCCCCGGCTCTCGACCAGGCGGGCGGAGTGGACCCCCATGCGGCGGCTCCAGGAGAAGTTCCGGAGGTGAGCCGGCCTTCGCCCTCGCCTTTGCGGGGCCGGGGAAGGTGGGAGAAGGAGGTGGGTGGAGGGATGAGGATTCCGGGCAGCCCTTTTCGGTGGAGCCCCGAAAAAAGGGTCTGAACCTGGGCAAATCCACGCACCCCTTCATTCAGCTCAAGGGTCCCAACCCGGCTATCCTTTCGGGAGCATGCCGCGCGTATGGAGATCAGCGAATAACTGGCCCAGATGGGCTCCTTTCTGGACCGTGCAAGTCCATCAGTCGGTGGTGTTCACCAGCGATTTTAAAAAGTGGAGTTTTGGTTTCTTTCTTGCTCGCTCGCTGCACCTTTTAATGAATGTATGCATGTCAGAGCCAAGAGCTACGGAATCAGGGTGGCTAAAAATAGCGGGTTACTTTTTATCTCTCAGTAACAGCTCTTCGTATTTATAATAATAAAGTTTCCTGGGAAATGTTGGATTAAGTGGAACCCTAATTTAGAAGGCGGATACAGTACAGTATTCTTAAAGGAAAGGCGAAATGCATTTGTGAAAGAAAGGGAACCCTGGTTCATGACTATGAAAGCAGTATCCAGTGGCAGCAGCTTTTCTGGGTTAATAAATGGCAGCAGATCGAGTAGCATAGATGTAGCTTGTTGTCTAGGTTTCCTGCGGTTGAAGTCAATGAGTGCATGCAACCTGTTGTGTCCTGGTTTTTTTATATTTTGTGAGTAGCCTCTTTGGAAAAGCCCAGGAGAGCTAGAAAGAGAGGAGCCTTGGCAGTTCCCAGGAGATCTTTAAAGAGCTCTTCACTTCATACAGATTACCCTAGAAAATCAGATGGCCTCCATTTATCACATTCTAGGTTTCTTCCCACAGTATTATTAACTGTTTAAAAACAGTTCCATATGCATGTCTGCCTGAGCACAGGCGTACGTCTTGGACTATTGCGTGAGAGAGAAAGGACAGAGAGTTGTGTAGTCTATGACTTTTACATATAGGAAAGAGGCGTGTGTTTTACTGGACTGTGGAGCCAGGCTTGTAAGTGGGAAGTTATTTTAGTTCAGCTTCACCTGGTGGAACTTATTCCAGGTTATGACATCGTTGTTTTTATCACTAAATTTCAGTTTGTCGCTGGCATCTGTTGATAAAGTGCAGCCTTCTGAGAATGCACAATTGTATCTGATACAGTGAATGGATGAATGCATAATAAAAATGGATTTTTTAAAAAGTTGATTTTCTTTTGCAGATTAAGTAGGTATCTGTATGCTCCCTTCTAGAAAACAAAGGGAAATGTGTGGACATTCTTTCATTGCTCCATTCATAGTAAGTCCACTGTTAAAAAGCCCTCTTTGGACTCCA